AAAAAAACTTCATAGAAACCTCTTGAGTATATATGATTTTTTATTGAAATGCCAAGCGATTCTAAGAGTTACGTTGGTTTTTCAGTGGTCAACCTAGACTACCCATATCCATTGGTTTCGTAGCAAGTGGTCTTCGAGACCGCTGTGGCGTGACAGTTCAGGTCACTTACTTCAGAAAGGCTTCAGTTTCAGTTAATATTGAGGGAAACAAGAAAAACTCATATAAACCTATTAAGAAAATTCCATGTTCGTTTAGATATCGCAAGAGATTCTAAATGCCTTTTTTGGTAAGTGAACAAATCTTCCGAGCTTATCGAACCACAAAATCGTTTGGGCGTCGACGCTTGAACAGACTGCTGGGCACGCTCTCAGATATACTAAATACCCGGAATTCGGAAATGTCCATCGAATTCAGAGAAAAGCCTTTTCACGGAGTATTAATTTAAAAATCTTGTCCCGTTTTACCTTAGTCAAGCTGTATTTTTCTTCACTGTAACAGAATCTTGGGGTATTTTAGTAAAGGATGCACCACTACTGTAGGAGATCTGACATCAAATAAACCAATTAAAAATACAGTATGAGGGAACGTGTTGCCTTATTGGTTTACATAAAGACCTTTTTGAAAAGAAACAACCAGTAGAAGTGCCATATAACAGGTATAACGCTTCGTAACCTTTCAATGGAATTTTGGTGAATATTTCTAACTGCCGCGTACTTGACCAGAAGCGTCGAATTTCTAAGTGTCGCCAATCGAGTGATATTCTAGGATGTGCAAGCACGGAAAATTTGTCCACTGAAACAAAAAGTTAATTTTTGAATTTGCGTGATATGTCTAATGTCCATTGTACGGGCATTTAGCCACAAAAAAAGTTCCTCAATGTTAGCGACTAGATCATTTACCTTTGACTTGCAAAAGGAGATAGTTTAAATGGGAGACAACACCTGCGTAGCCTCAAGCAAATCGCGCCACCAGCGCATCTTAAGAGTCATCAAAGGCCTGAGAGAATATTCTACTTTCAAGGTAGGTGCCTTTTGAAGATCTTCAAAACATCCAATGGATTTTCCTCAATGTTTCGTTATGGTAAATAGGCTCAACGAAAAAGGTTTAATACGCCTAGAGAGAAGACGGAAGGAGATTTTAGAATGGAGATCATTTACCCACCCTAAAGAAGCCAATAATTTTTTCTCTTGGTTCCCCCCCCGATTTTCTAATATCATAATGGTCCTTCGCTTTTGTTCTGTCAGTCTGATCTCTGCTTGACCAACTCAGAATTTTTTCGTCTGTTTTTATCATCTCTCCGGCAGGGTAGTTTTCAATACGACTTGCATAACCCTGGTCGAGTTGACAATGGAAAATTCCCTTAATCAAATATGTAGATCTTAATTATTTTTTCTTTGGTAAACATCGTCTTGTTCACACCGTATAAAATGTTCCTCGGAGCTAGAGACTGGACCACTTAGCTTTGACCTGGAGAAGGGGACAGTTTTAAGAGGAGACAACATCTGCGTAGCCTCAAGCAAATCACGCGGCCAGCGGATCTAAAGAGTCATTAACGAATTGAGAATATTTACTACTTTCAAGGTAAGTGCCTTTAACAAAAGATATCATAAACGTCGAACTAAATTTTGTCAGTGTCTTCTAATGGTAAATATACTCAACGAAAAAGATTTAAATGCGCTAAGAAAAAAGAAAGGAGGATAGTTCAGCATGGTGATCATTTACCCACCCTAAAGAAGCCAACAATTTTTTTACCCTTGTCTAAGTTTCCTTAATTTTTTTTGGTAAGGACAAGTAAGAAATGGTCTCTTTCGATATTTAAAGATGTCACTTTCACCCTTACCAAAAACATCCGTGCACGTCGCATATTCAGATAGAAAACTTGTTTTTTTTTTGCTTAGAATAAAAAAAAAATGCCCTTGAATAAGAGAAACCTATTACCGTACTATTCAAGAATTGATATAAAAGACCAGGGAGGTAAGGAACACCACTGATAAAGGATAAGGAAGAAAAACTTTAAAAATCTTGGTTAGTTCTTCTTTTTAAGTTATATTCATGTTTTCAACCCCAGCAGGGTTACAGAGAAGCCATGAAACTCCATTCAGTTGTTACTCTTCTCGTTCTGGTTCTTTTTACAACTGTACCTGACGATACTGAAGCTGTATCAGTCGCCTGGTTTCTTAGAATCGCAGCCAAACTCGGAGTAAAGCTTGCAAAAACAGCTACTACGCTCGCTGTAACACACGCCGCACACCGCCCGGGATAAGCTGTCCCTCTGTTGTCTACGGTGTCGGTCTTTCTAGAGGACAGGCCCAGAAATCAGCCCGGGTTTACGCAGCTACATTTGGGGATGACGAGTGTAAAGGTTACGTGGGCCATTGCAGTATTAAGAAATTCATCAAGTGAAGAATACTCACATCAGTTGGTGATCATTTCCTTTATTCGTGTGACCCTAATGTTTGATTCAAGGGTGATATTGTAAGGAGAAGTAAAATTTTGGTCACTCTTCGGGGTTAACGGGTTAATAAAGAGAAAAAAGCTAAATAAAATTTTAGAATTTGACGTTTGCATACACTTAGACAGCCATTTATTGAGGGGAAAAAGTAGAATAAAGATTTAAACTGAATATTGATTATTCTGAATAAAGGTACAAAAACTTTATTCCTGACTCAAAAATTTTGCTATTACCTTTGTGTCTGCTACCCTCGTGACAAGGGGGACGTATTCGGAAATAACTTATTTGAAAGAACCAGTCGATTTCAGAAGTATGGTCTCTTTTGATATTTAAAGATGACACTTTCACCCTTACCAAAACATTCGTGCACGTCGCGTATTCAGATGTAAAACTTGTTTTTACTTAGAATGAAAAAAAATGCCAAACCATTTTACATTTGTTTTAATGAAAGAGGAACGAAAACCGTGTTTACATACGCTCGTGTAAAATGGTTTTATGGCCAATCAGAGCGCGCGTACTATTTGAATTATTTTATAATTTTTATTCCCGACTCAAAAATGTTTCTAGAACCTTCGTGTCTGTTACCTTCGCGACAGGGTGACCTTTGTGGAGGGGACTTATTCGAAAAACTTCATTTGAAAGAACCAGTCGGTTCCATACATCCAGAAATGTAGTCTCGAAATTTTCCCAAGGCACCTTAGCCTCAAGTCCTGAGTATCTTTATAAGAACAGAATTTCGCAAATAATAGAAAAAAAAAACTAGTTGCCACAATAATATTTATTTTAAGTAGAGAATTCCAAATAAACCACATCACACAAGTTATTCTCGAACGTGTTCCCCAAATTAAGGTCACCCTGTCAGAATGGTAGCAGACACTAAGATTGTAGGCGAATTTTTGAGTTGAGAATAAATTTTAACCCCTTTTCATTCAGAAAATTAATATTCAGTAAGATCTGTTGGCAAACAACAACAACAACAACAAAACGATAAAATCTTTATTAAAATGTCATTCCTGAGAACAGTTCTGTCTCCCTTTAGGAAACGCTTAGCCAGCAATGGTGTAAACGTATCAAATTTATTTCCATCCTAATAAAACTTAGAATTAACTTATTTAAAATCTAGCTTTTCACTGAGAAAACCGGAAAAAAAAGAATTCTTCGTGCAGTTTTTTAGTGTCATTTTGCAGTTGATATTAGTAATTAGATTAAGCTCCGCTGTTGCAGTAGGCCAAGAAGAATTCAATGTTTTCCGATGATCTATGTATTAATTTGTCTTAGTCGCATTCATAGGTAATTAAAAGATCGATGTTGTGTTATCCACCGAATTACGTGCAAACCTGTGTATCACTTAACTACTTACTTAATGACTTCAGTAACAGGTAACGGAAATGGTAATCGGATAGAAAGGATGAAACATCTAATAAGAGTGTTGTATAATAAAACTAAAGAGCTGGAAAACAGCAACGAGTGTAAAATCTGTGAGCGACCACAATTAAACGAGCCCAAATGAAACTGATGAAAACTACGCAAGTCTTTGCAAACAAAATGATTAAAGGAATCATAAAATATTATCAAAAGTTGCCTGCACGTGTAATTTAGGACCATAATCGACTTAAGGGTGCCATTTGGAAACAAGAGCTCACAGTTTGCCGGATCGGTTAAATAATCTATATGATCCATGTCCAAGAATGACAACTTATATTAAAACTGAAATTTCCTGCACCCCCTCCCTCCCTCTTCTCCCTAC